ATATCTCAAGGGCCTCAAGCACACTGCCCGAAGGGAGAGGAACCACTACCTTCGCTCACAGAAGCGGAAGTTCTCTTTCAAAGACGCAAAGTGGTTCGTATCACGACCGTACTGGTCTCGGATATGGATAGTGCAAGAGTTCACCTTGGCCAGAGAGTTGTGGGTATTATGCGGATCAGTCGCCATATCATGGACTTCTCTGCAGCAATTCCGACCTTTTGGCATATCCGACCAGACAAATCTTGGGTTCAAGCATCTCTCAAAGTCAGAAAGCCACTACAGTATTGAGGCCCGTGTCAACAGCTGTAGAGAGTTATCAAAACTCCGGCGGTCGTGGCAAACCGATTCGAAACGACCTTCCTTTACAGACAAAGACCCCGGTTTTGGGGCACGACCTAGATTGACTCGCCTCCTCGCCTTTTCCAAAGACTATCATTGTACGGATCCTCGGGACCGGGTGTACGGATTACTGGGGCTTACTGCAGAGGACGGCGTCCCAGACCAACTGCCAGCTGACTACGACATCACGCCGTTCCAACTATATCACCGAGTGATTCACCATCTGAAAAGTCAAGGGCAGTCTTTTCTCCCTCATCTTTTCCGTGATAGGCTAGCTCAGGGACTTCAGATATGCGATCATGACAGCCTTCCGACGTCTACGTTTCTCTACGAAATAATGGCCGGCCGATGTGTGAAAAGACTCCTCACCACTGGTGCAAATATGTGGAGAGAGCAATTTCTAAAAGAAGTAACAGAGTTTCTGGATGTTACAGATGAGGATGAGGATGCCCATGAAATGTTCTCGAGAATTATCCGCGGAATGGGATCCTTTCCTTCCAACGAAGACCCAGCCACATGGGCAGAGTTTGTTGCAGCTTTGAAGAAAGCTTTGAGCATTAATTAACATGGTTTTGCTGAAGTTCTCAACAGTTGCAGTCGATAGTATTGAATGAGGATTGGTTGAGCAAAACCTCGCGAGGCCCCAATCTAGACTTTGAAGCGTGTTTTGATATTTTAGTAAGCCCGTCGAGACATCATAAGATATACGAAGATGGAATTGAAAAAAAAAAAAAAAATGAAAAAAAAAGAGGAAAAAGGTTCAAAGAAAAGCCGGCGATGAATAGTCTACGATTTGAAGGATCAAGATAGGATATGTGGAGTTTTTATCTTGGTTAAAAGGACATGAATGCATTCCACCGCCCGGCCAAGTATCTGGGTATCTGTCCTCGCAATTCAATGATCAGCCGGGCTCATCTTCCAAGGCTGTCATCTCCCTGTTATTCTGCTAGATTAACGGTCATCTTTGAAAATGATTCATCAAGAGGTGATTCCTCGTCTCCATATGGCCCTCCTTTGTATGCCATCGCTCGTGATACCCAACACATTTTCAGTCAGGCAACATGGCTGTCATCCCTGCGTATGGAGTATTTCATGGTTAGCAACTATCTCAAACATAGAAGAAACAAGTGCAACATGGCTTACGGAAGTAATCCCCAGACCACCATACAGCCCAACAGCCCATGAGCTCAAAACTCGGAACAGCCCCTTTCCTGATTCGCCTTCTTTATAGCAAACGTAGCCATCAACAATGCCACAGTAGAAACCTGAAATCAGAAGAACGCTGTCGATAGCCCTGAAGTCGCCTCTGGCATGAAATGTGTAAATCAGCAGTCCAATAACCGATGTGCGTGCCGAAGAGAGGCTGAAGGTAGCATGAGCGGTTGGAGACGAGGCGATTCTGTCTGGAAGACCGAAAGCTTTGATTGATCCGGTGGGGTTGAAGAGCGCGAGTAGGCCGCCAAAAGTGGTGGTCGTTGCGACAAAGAGAGGGAAGATGTGGCGGGGGTTTAAAAAAGACATTGCTAAGATTGGATGATGAGTTTCAGCCGCTGAGTTGAGGGAGCTTTGCAGTACCACGGCAATCTCACAGTTGACAATGAGGCAAAGAAAAACCCCAACCATATTCTCACCTTGAAGGTTTGGGGGGTGATCGGGTCCACCTTAGGCAGCAGGATTCCAAAGCTGACATGAAAGCTGCTTACATATACGCTTCGTGCCACGATGTTTCTGGCGCAAAACTGAATTCCAGTGGAAATGAAGTCGAAGACAAGTAGGTAGACACTCCTTGGGTATTCGTGACCGCCCTCTTGGACATTTCTCACCACAGGAGCCCACCTATGCCGTATTATCTAGGGCTTGGCAAAGGACTTGTGCATAAGTACTCAAGATAGCAGCGAGATGTGGAGTGCAAGTGGGTGTACTTGCGTAACGAAGCCGTAGTAGCTGACTTGGTGGATTATGGCTGTACTAAATGTGATGGAGAAAGCCTTGGGCCTAAAACCACAAAGCTCTTCTCACGCAAGGTTAACCTGAGCCCGAATGCTCTCCCATGAATGCGGGCGTCCTAGTTGGCATCGTCAACTTCTTCAAGGGAATTCCCTATCATGAGATACAGTGTGTGGTGCAAGGAAGCGTCAGGCAGTACCACGGTGCCTTGCAAGAAGGCTCTTACTGAACTCAAAGTCTTCCCTGACTTGGAGCTCGATGCTCTAAGAAAGTACTAATGTACTTCGATTTTGATTCCGTTTGCTGCGTCTCCTCGTGGGCCGCATCCTCATCCGTCTCGGCGGTAAAGAAATCGGCAGGCAGGCTCCCGACTTCAACCTTTTCCGGAGCAAATCCAGAATTTGAAGACAGGTTCCAAATAGAATCCCATATGGCAGCTTTGTTGCTACTCAGAGAGTTTGTTTCATCCTCCATCCTTGCTGGATGCTTCGAGTTTGCGCATCTTGATGTGGACTGTCGCAGCCGGCCCTCGACGATGTTTTCGTTTTCGTGATGCTCCTTCATCACTTGCCCAAGTCCTCTCTTCTCCCCGCTTTCGCTGCCAGCATTTCCCCCTCGTCTTGATCGGTGCGACTGCCTCAGAGGTGGCCGCTTACCGTCTGAGTTCGGATGAGAATTGTGCGCATCCAAGAATTCGAATTGGGAGAGTACCGGCCATTTGTTATCCCTCAATCTTCCCACTGTCTTTTGCCGCAGTTTTATTTTCTTCTCCCGGCCTCGATCCGTAGGGTTTGTCGATGCTGCTGCTGCACCTCCTCTCACAGGTGTCTTATTAGCCTCCTTCGGCTCTGCCCGTCGACATGGGACAAGAACGCAAACGAGACCCCTTGGATAGAAAAGCTCGTTGTTCGCCTTCCGCAAAATTTCGCTGATTGCGCTTCGTCTCGGTGTATTTTTCCCATAGTAGGACGCCACACCAATTCCCATTGAAAGCAACATCGGATGCGATGTGGTGAGGGCCGTCATGCCGGCGAAGCCATCCATATTCATTACATGGTCGCCTGGTGATCCTGATGGCTCGTCTACTCGGTTCACGTCGTCTATGAATCTCAAGAAGTCCTTCTTTCCAATACCGCAATTTTGCAAGCCAGAGGGGTAAGTTCGCGAAAACTTCGGTGATGATATCCCGGATAATCGTTGTTTGATGATGATCGGATAAGATAGTCGGGGCCGACTGAAGGTAATCGTCGGCATCTCAGGCCCAGGGAGTAGATTATTGTCGGGCAGTCTTGGAATGGCATCTTTTAGGACATCAAGATATTGCTGTAGCTCTCTAGATTTTGGTTGATTTCGCGATGCCTGTTTCTCGATGCGGTGCTTTTCGGAGATTCTTTGAATGAGAGCAAAACTTCGACTCCGCTCTTCTTCTTCTGTGCTCTGACCTTTTTCGTATCTGCAAAGTTCGAGTGATGTAGAGCCAGTCTCTTGAGTTGACTGTGATTCGGGACCGTCCATCAAGCCAACGGGCTGGCCAGGAACCGGTCCAGCTAACGGCTTGGTACCCTGCGCATATGTCGCCATCTTCTGAATGACTTCACTGTGCCCGAATCCAGCTCAACACCGCTGATCCATCAGGCATTCGGGTCGATTTCGAGTTTGCATTGCGAATGTAAGGTTGAAAAGAAATCAGGAGATTTTCAGTGTCGAATGCTGCCTGGAAAGCTCCGGACAGGCCGGCGGACATCTCTCTGTCTGCGACACATCCCGACCCCGAATATGCGCGCGGCACGTTGTGGGATGACAAGTGAGACACGCTACTAGTTTGAACTTTCAAGTGGTGTTCTCCGAAAGAGAAGATTACATGCATAACCGAGTCCGGAGGTCAAGCGCGGCGAGTGCGCAGGCGGGTGCGAATGCGACGAAGAAAAAAGGGGCCCGGGTGCACTCCCAACTCGGACTTCGGCCCTCATCAAAGGTGAAAACCGACTCCGCCTCCTCCAACGGCTCACATAAGTTCGACGAACCAATCCGCAGATCCAAAACGAGTTGGCTATGCGAGAGCCTACTGTTGTTCTGACTGCATTCCTCATCCCACCGGGGTCTTGAAGATCATTGCAAAGGGCACAGCATTTCTTTCAGCGGACAGTGCCTAACTAAATACGGCCAATTTCTCGAAGCGACTAAAGTATTCTTTAGGCTGATCCCAAAGTCCATTATCCATCTGATGACTTCAAAAGCTCTTGAGTAACCGCCTCCACCAAGGTAGTCTGTCCAAATCATGTTCTCCAGTCTCGATTTCCTGTGACTCGTCCAGGTCGCGTCGGCGACCGGACATTAGATCAATCTCACCCACCCTCCAGAAATGCGTCTTAAACCAGAACTTGTATCCAAACCAAATGATGGGAAACAAGGGTAATAAGATGTAAGCATCGACGAATGATCCAGCATCGAATGGGGCAAGGGTGGTCCAACCCTGCACAACAGCCAAGAAGATGTTTGCCCCCAAACCAAAGTAGGCATTCCACGGATACCACAACGAGATGAATGGTAGTGAACTTTCCGCGTGGCCCTGGGCCTTCCACGCTTGTCTGAATCGGATGTGGATGAAAGAAATGGAACCCCAGACGAGGAAAGTCGAGACACCGCTGAGATTGACGATGTACGAGTACGCCTTGCTGGCGCCTGTGCTGATGTTCATCATGGACAGCGCGCCACATAGATTGGTGAACACGATGGCCGGAATAGGCACACCGCGGCTATCCGTCCTGCCCAAGATCTTAGGGGCCTTCTTATCCTGTCCCATGTAAAGAAGGGTGCGGGATCCGATGTAGATGGACGAGTTGCACGCTGATAAACACGTAACGAAGATGAAGGCGTTGATCAAGTGCACGCCCCCTTCCCAGCCGGCGTTCTGGATAGCCACCGTCATGGGACTCTTCACGGCACGGGAGCCCCCGTTGACGAGCTCGTCCGCGTTGGCGGGGCATGTCAGACCGAAGAAGAAGGCAGAGCCCATGTAGATAAAGATGATGCGCCAGAACACTTGGCGAATCGCGAGCGGGACGGCGACACGCGGGTTCTTCGTCTCGGTGGCGGCAACGGCGACAGACTCCACACCGGCGTAGAATGTGGAGCAGAAAACGAAGACTTTGGCGGTGCCACGGAAGCCATCGGTGAAGGCACCAGGGTCACGCCAATATTTGAACCCAAGGGCTTCTTGTCCAGGAATTCCACCAGCAGCGTATCTGTGTTCCATGTTAGCGACTCTGATCGGAGTAGATATTATGGATGGTGGCTTACACTATGGAGAAGAGAAAGTACGCGACCAAGCCAATCAGCTTCAGTAGAGCTAACCAGAACTCAGCTTCGCCAAAAGCCTCGACTCCGAGCAGTTGGAAACCAAGGAAGAGTGTCTAAGTGCATGTTAGCTGCGTTGTTCTTAAGAATGTTCATAGAAAATGCAAACCCAGAAGATCAAGAAATAGCCCCACAGGGGCACCTTGTCGCTCCAAAAGACAAAAATGCTCGACAACACGTTATACTCATTGGCCAAGACACACATCCAGATGATATAGTAATTCCAACCCAGCGCAACACCAAACGCCTTGTCGACAAACCGATCTGCCAGCCCGGTGAACGCACCTCCGCTGGGATACAACGTGGTCAACTCGCCCAAGCTCTGCATAATGCTGAACGCAATGATACCAATAACGCCGAACCCGATGAGTAGGGCAGCGGGCCCGCCGTTGGAGAGCGCGCCTCCCGCGCCGATCAGGAGACCCGGCCCGATGATGCCCGCCAGAGCCATCATGCTGAGGTGCCGGGTCTTGAGGCCTCGCTTGACGCCACTGTGCGGGTCAATGGCTGCAAAGTCGGCGTCCGCTGAAGTAGAATCATCAGCAAAGCCTGCGCGGCCGACGCGCGCGTCTTCGATGACAGGAACGTCATCGCCGTCCTTGTCGTAAGCTCGGTATCGTGACATTGCGGCGACGGGCTTTGGAGAACAGGTGAACGCGAGGGGGCGGAGGATTTGATAAGTCGATGATCTTGCCAAGATCAGACGGTATCAGTGGTCCAGTACGGTCTCAGTTGTTTATCAGTCACCCCTCTCCCGTCCAGAGAGTTGGAGATTCGCAAGTTGAGTGACCAATGTTGTTTGAGGTTGGGAGAGATATTTCAAACTCATGAAGGAATTGGACCCGGCCCTTTGGATCGGGACTTCGAATGCATTACCGCGAAGTAATGGCCGGGCCACTGCAGTTGAGAAAATCTCGTCATCTCAAAACGTGTGCAAAGTGACACCGTGGTGATGGCGGATTTGCGCCGCGGGATCGCGTCATCGCCTGTCCTTGTCTAAAAGTGTCTCCCAATTGGGCCATCGAGGGGCCTCAATGGTTCGAGACCCGCTTACATGCCGTTTAGTGCGGGGGCATCCCGTCCTCTTTCACGATCTCTTCCCGTTTAGGAGATTCTATTAGACGTTGGTATTCAGTCGCGACGTTGGCTGGTTGACTCGTGCGAAAGGTTATTAAATTTGCTACCGACTTTTGGCTGTTGAATGCCAATTGACGCATACTCTGAGGGTTATTACGGCAGTGTCGCGAGGGCGTTCGTCCTCGAGAGCGAAGTCTTGAGTGAAGTCTTGGCTCGAGCTCATTGAGTACATAATTACAACCCTCCTTGTTCAACTTTCGTAGATTACACTATCCTCCTTTCGACACTATGCAGTAATCAACTGATAAGTGATAAACACCACAAGTAAAGTATCGTGGGGTTTTCCACCATCTGACCATGCACTGTCGTCCATCAGACACATGTGACGGACACGAACCCAACTCATGCTAGAAGAAAGCAAGCTCATTAGCGTTCAAGAACTCGTCTTGACTGTATGTGCTTCAACTTACTACTTGCCATCTGCAAAACAAATTGAGCAGCAGCGTCCGCATCCTCAGCGTACGTCAAATGGTCGACGGTAATGAAACCTCCGCTACAAACAGCATCGTTATCGTGACAGATGATCTTGGTCTTGCCCTCACCGCCAGTAATGTCGTTCGGGTTGCCAGGATCTCCAAACGTCAAAACAGAGTTGATCTTGGCCATAGTAGCCGCAGGAAGAGAGTTTGCAGTGCTACGGACAACCAGAGCACCCTGGGAGTAGCCTGACATGACAATTTTCGTGTTGGGGCACTTGGTTGCAGCATCGTTAATGAAGTTTGTCCTAAGCCGCCGAGGGTCAGCGTTTGCCTCCTGTCTTTTGCTCAGACTATCTTCGACACGGAAAAGGCCTCTTTTGGAATAACTTACATGCTTGGGACACCCTCGGTGCCATTCTTGTTGAACCCAGCAAAAGTTGCGGGGTACTCGACTCCCTGAATCGAAACGGTCTTGGTCCCACGCTGCTGGTTGAGAGCGTCGAAAAAGGGCGGTCCTGTCACCAGCCCGACGTTTCCCGGCTCAGTGGTACCTCGAGCGAATATGACGGTGATGTCGGTGCACGCTGCGTTGTCCTCCAAGTCATCCTCCGTCGTGTCAATGCCGACAGAGTCCGCGAGGCCCTGTTGAAGAGGGGTCAAAATCAATCCCACTGCGTCGAGAGCTGCCGCGCCCGCTGGTAGAGTGCTGATGATTCTGAGGAATTGATTCAGTGGACCGGAAGGAAATTTGGCCAGGACGTCGGGAATATCTTGTCTTTCCTCAAGAACTGAAAGGTCTGGCGCCATTCGTTTCAAGTCAGTCATGAGCTCGTCGGCATCCGACGCAGGAAGGCAGTGAACTAAAGAGACAGTCTGCATGCCAAGGAAGGCAAGGACGTGAAGTAAGAGCAACATCTTGAGGATGATTTTTCTCGGTGAAACGATCAGTTGAACGAATGACTTGACTATAAAACAGCAGATGAGATGCAGACGCTCATCTCAAGAAAAGACAAGTCGAAGGTCCAGAGTATATATTCACGGAGAATTTACAGGTTTCTCGGGACCCCAAGGTATGGGTCGAATTTGCAGTCCAGGGCAACGAATGTGATTGGCTCACCAAGAGCTGGAGTTGTCATTTACCATCAACAAGCACGTCTGTTTACTCCCTCAGGAAGGCCTTTACAGCTTAGAATAGGGCATATACCCAATAACTTTCTCTCTATAGGGTCTTGAAGTAGGATCACCCCGCATCGATTCCCGAATGAGTTCAGGGGCAACGTTCAATCCGGGGCGCAATGTACAACCGTTGCTGGTTTTGAAAGCTTGCTATGTCGCATTCCAGCATTTACTCCAGAGTTTATGCCAGAGACTAGATGAACCGTTGGCAGGCTCTGACGTATGCGGTCGGATGATGCATGTCAAAAAAGCTGGAGAAGAACACCATCGTCGGTTTTTGAAACACGTGGGACAACATCGAAGAGCGTCTCAAGCCGAGGCTTGCAAAACCCCAACCTCAAGCACAGGCGCAATAGGTAACTGCCGAAGAAATGCAAGGCCACCAACTCCAGCAGTCGGAGGGTGAGGTAGCATCGAGGCCTGCACTAGTCGGGCTAGCCATGATTTTGCAGGTGCCTCATTGCAACCATCTGAACTGCTCCACTTTGGCAGCTGTCTGTACCCCGTGACATATGACGAGAGGGCATACATCTACTTCGCATAGTCCGACGATTGAAGGAGAGTAATAAGAGATCAAGCGCTTCTTGACAATGGTTGCTAGGTGCCTTGAGGAAGATGAAGTACCTGTCAATGCATCGCCTGAAGGGACCTACTTAGTGCCGAACCTCAAATCATGCAGACAATCAAGAGTAGGAAAACAGATAGAGGTCGACTGTTCAGTGAATAAGTTAATGATAAAAATCTACAGTCTATGGAATTACAAACGCCAAAGCATTGAAGGAAATGGTAGTTGTAGACATCTAACAGGTGGAGAATCTTCCCATCTCTTCGCCTCGCCCGCTACGTGACTTCAGTTCCCCTCACTGGGCCTTCGCTTTTGACTCGTCGATGCCGAGGCGGCCCAGAACAGCGCGAACGCTCTCTCCGTGGTACGAGTACATCCACTTGCAGCCCATGTGAGGGCCGACCATCTTGATGTACGCCCAGATGGTCATCTCCTTGATCCACTGGTGAATGAAGGAGGTGGACGTCTTGCGCAGGTCACCGTTTTGGGTGGTGAAGTCCACAATCTTGGACACGCGGTCCTTGCGGTGGTCCTCCCAGGCTTGGATAACCTGCGGCCGGGCGCTGTCGTTGAAGAGCGGTGCCTTGATGTGGGCGAGGGTGTATGCGAGGGTTTCCGCGTCCTCAAAGGAAGTTGCGCCACCTTGCCCGCCCTATAGGAAGTTGTCAGCATGTATTCGTTATCCAGTGGTGTTGGGGAACTTGCAGTCGGGGGCATGCCGTGAGTTGCGTCTCCGATGAGGAGGACACGGCGACTCGGGGAAGACCAAGATTCCTTGGCAGAAAGCAAGTAGAAACTGGAGGAGTTTTCGTTAATCATCCGTAACCATACAGCTGCAGAAGGTTCATCACTCACGGCCAGAGAGTCAACGACTCAGTCGGGGTCCGGTGGCACAGAGCGCGCACGACCTCAGGCCAGCTCGAATCGATAGGGAACCTCTCCTTGATCATCTTCGCCAAGGTCTCCTTGTCGGCGTCCAGCGCCGCCCACTCCTCACGCGGCCGCTCCTCAACCTCAAAGGTCGCAAAGTAGCTCACCTCGTCGCCGTCCGCCGATGCCGGCATGACCGCAAAGGAGCCGTTGCCGCCGAAAAGCATGCAGGGGTAGTGCGTGTCCGTGTCAACGTCGGGCAAGTCGCTGAGCTTGTAGGTACCAGAGATACCAGCAAGGCCTTGGAAGACGGGCTTGCTGCCGTTAGGGCGTACAAATGACCGCACGCGCGAGTGAATTCCATCAGCGCCGATGACAAACTCGGCTGTCACGGTCTCGCCGTCCTCAAATTCCACAGTGGCTGAAGTATCTGTCTCCTCGCGGACGCCGGCGCACTTCTTCTCGTAGTGAATCGGCACCCCAAGGAGCTCGAGCTGGCGGATCAGCTCGCCGCGGAGGACGGTGCGGCGGATGCGCAGGGCCGGGTAGTTGTACTCTTCATAGCTGCCGTTGAGGACCTTGGCCAAGAGCCCGCCACGGCCGTTGAGGAAGGCGACGGACTCGAAGGCGAAACCTTGGGGGCGAAGGGTGTCGTAGACGCCAATGTGGTCGAGGACGCGGAGGGCGTTGGGTGAAAGGGCGATGTTGCCGCCTGAGACGAAGTCCTTGGGCCTGGCTTCGTAGACTGCGGAGGAGATGCCACTCTTGTGAAGATAGAGGGCGAGGGTGAGTCCCTGGGCGACTAGTTAGTCAAAGCACGAATAGGCATCAAAGATTGAGGTCGTTAATACAGAGAGACCGCCTCCGATGATAGCGACTTGAGCCATTGTGAAAGTTTAGGTTGAAGTGTTTGATTAGGTAAGGAAATGGGTATCGATCGTATGTGGCGGTCCTGGGACTGGAAGAAGTCGGTCTCAAACGTCAATCGCTGCGTATTCTGGATAATTCGAGGGATGAGTTGGGTATTCCGTGATGGATCTGAGCTCTAACTAAACTCATCTCTCCCTCCAAGTCGCTTAATCTTATACAAGACTTGCGTCTTTCGTGAAATCGCACCTATCCGCTGCGATGCGGGAGCGAGCCAAGCAACGTACGATCGCTTGTCCGATACGGCTGCAGCCATCTCCGTCGTCCACGGCGATTCTCTGTACGTGAGGCACAGCAGAGCCGTCGGCCGGATCGGTCTCCGGTGAGAACGGAGGAGGATGGGTGGACCTGGTGTGGCGCCTCAAAGAGATGAGCCTAGATGCAGTGTCTTGCTTTGTGCAACTGCTGCTACTGCTGCCTGTCGTAAGCACAATTCCTGCACGTCTTTCGGTTTGTAGATTGGACTTCAGTGTGTATTTTCCGCTGCCCGCTATGTCTCGGAAATAACCCTTATGATGGCAAATGGAGCAAAGACGAAATGTCAGTTGAGGGGTGTGGCTGAGCACTGCGTCCATCGCTTGAGCTGACTCCAGCTCTCTACCGGCTGGATAGATCCAAGCGAACCCAGACTTATCTCATTCCACCAGCATATTTAGAGTAACAAATAAACAGCCTCGTCATTGTTTGTGGGTTCAAGGGCAGGGTCGCGCGCGTTTCTGGCGCCATTCTGGCATCCTTCGTCAAGTTTGCGCTCCGTATCCGCGCGCGTTGATGTAAGCGCCGTCCCGTCAAGAAGCGGACGCTAAACTGCACCGCCACACCCCGCGCACCGAGATGATTTGCTCTTGGATGGACTGTCCAGGACCAAAGTTTCATTTCGCACTTGAATCAGACCACGTGCATCCCAGACGATATGGAAACTTCTTCATCCTTGATTTCGGTTGGTTCTTTGACGATTGATCATTATTGTAGCCACGGCTCACTTTTTTTTATGCCACCTCAAATCTCCCCGTACCAAGTTAACAAGATTGTAAGTTGTAGGTGATCATATTTTCGCGTAAATGCCAACAATAATTAACGCTATCTGTTTCTTCTTCTTTCGCTGGTTTCCGTGTAGTCCCTTTGATCCGCTTGACAAAAAGTGGATGTAGGATCCTGTGCGCCAAGATCGATGGATTCAAACTAGCGATCGTACATACGAATCGATTCGAGGTAAACTTCCATGGCTTAAGTTCCTTCGACAGATCTTGCAGATAGATAGTATGGATAGCGATGTTGCAAATCTAGTAACAATAGTGCCAATTGTCTACTGAGCTACGAGCCCCTATTCATGGACAATGATTGATGGACACATGTAATAAATGCGTCGTACATACGAGTATGACTACAGGATTATTCCGAGAACGTGTCTCGTAACCAAAGACTTCTACCTTATTGAAAACAATTCGAACAACGAACAAGCAATTGAGACAGCAGTTTCTGATTGCGTCCTCCACGGATCAAGGTAAGTAGGTAGTCCAGTATTTCCTCGTAGTGTGTCCCACTCCCTCAGTCAGCAACTTCGGCATGGATCCGCAACGGAAAGAATTTGGGGACCTCATGGGTGGATCATCTGGAGGCGGATGTCATAAAGTAAAGTTATGATGGAACGAGCTGCTCATTCTCGTGTTCTCTGATACTTTGTAAAGCTATCTGCTCATGCAACATGACTTTATCGTGGTTTACAGGTCGATATTAGTAGCTACCTTTCATAGTCGGTCACCGGTGTGGATTAACTAACGATCCTTGGCAAAGGATGCAATTGCCGATTGCCCAGTCTTTGTTGAACCTTTGGTCTTTGCAATTTGTTGAACATCGAGTACATAATCAGGACTTCGCTGTACTCCGTAGCAAAGACCTGACAGGCCCCACTTTGCCAATTGCGGAACTATCGCCGCACTCAGATGTCGAGCTTGCGAATATCCCAGCGGAGAGTCTCCGTCCTTGCGCGTTAGCTTACGTGCATTGCATCAAATATCTTCAAGGGTCCTTGGAGAAACGAGCCCACCCGCAAGGCAGCAGTTGCAACTCGCCGGCTCCCGCAACCAACGAACCAAGAGCTCCATCATAGCTCCATTGAATGTCCGATAATGATTTGCCTACGAAAAGATATGTGATTCTGGTCTGGACCGAAGGATTCGCACTCCACGAGACACTGCCCATCGGGCGTGAAGAGATGCTTCGAGACAATAACGCCGATCTTCTCGCAAGTTGCAACAGTAAGCGCGGCGATGAAACCCAAAGATGGTAACAGTGACAGTCGACACATCACTAGCTTACTCAAGAGGTAACCGATAACGTACAAGTTCCACAAAAAGGAGAACCCTTAGAGTTTAGACATCTTTATTTCTTGTTACATCGTTTGAACGCATATGCAGGGGGGGTTATCATAAGTTAAAAAAAAATCATGCCTTTGTGATGAACATGGACTGCACGTTGCAGTACGCCTTCAGACCGCCAGCGCCGTACTCGTATCCGATACCGCTCTGCTTATGACCGCCAAATGGCGCATCGTACTGCAGCTCCAAGTGGGTGTTGATCCAGACGTTGCCGGCCTTGAGCTTCTTGGCGACGCTCTGCGCCTTCTCGACGTCCTTTGACCAGACCGAAGCGCCGAGACCCATGAGGGTGTCATTGGCGCGGTGAATAACCTCCTTCTCGTCGCTCCACTTGAGGACGGGGAAGACGGGACCTGGGATACCCCCATGTTAGCCTCGGTGGAGAACAATGTTTTTTTCATTTGCAGAAGGGAGGGGCGGCACGATTGAGGGGCGAGGACGGGTTGGGCGATTGAGTTCGCCCGTGCATGAATTTCACTTTGGGTAGCGGGAGAACATGAACTCACCGAAAGGTTCCTCGACGACAATCCTCGAGTTGTCGGGCGGGTTGTCAATCATTGTGGGCGTGATGAAGTAGCCCTTGCCGTTGGAGGCGGGCGCGGTGGATCCCGCGGCCACCTTGAGCTTCGTCTCCTCAATGTCCTTGAGGAGCTCCTTGACGCGCTCAAATTGCATCTGGTTTTGGACGGGGCCGAGCATCGTGCCCTCTTGTTGTCCGTCGCCGACGGGCAGGTTCTTGATGGCGGTGGCGATCTCGGCGACAAGCTCGTCGTAGATGGCCTCGTGGATGTAGATGCGCTTAATAGCGATGCAGACCTATAGTAAACGGTGTCAGCGGCAGTATGACTTTGGCTCTTTGATAGGACTTTTGTCAACCAACTCCTACGTACCTGTCCAGAGTTGTACAGAGCAAGCATGGCAATCTATAATATGTCAGCTTTGACCTCTTGAATTGCATCGTAGACAGTGACGGACCTTTGGCGCGACGGCCTTCACATCAACATCAGGAAGGACAATAGCAGCATCGTTTCCACCGCTGCGATCTCACGAGTCAGCGACCAACTCCACTCTACCATCCGGGGAGAGACGGGACGCATAAATTCCGTCCCAAATCAGCCACTTACAGCTCCAGAGTGACACGCTTCAGGGTCTTGCTGCAGCTCTCCATCACACGCTTGCCGGTTGCCGTCGAGCCAGTGAAGCTGACCTTGTCGACGCCCGGGTGGGAAGTCAACCAGGGGCCGAGGTTGTCATCGCCGCTCAGAGCCTGGAAAATGCCGGGCGGGAAGAATTGCTGCGCCAGCTCGACGAGCTTGAGGTCGCAGTAGGGTGTGAAAGGACTATCGTGGTCTCGGTGTTAGTGCTTGGCATGTGTGTGGAAGATCACATCGGAAATAGGTCTGGAGCTTACGATGGCTTCAGGATGAAGGCATTGCCGGTGACGAGTGCAGGGGCAATCTTGCCACAAGCTGTTGAGTAGTGTTAGTTGGGAACTTGCCCCGGGCGCATCGGATTGGAGGAGGCATACCGAGGAGGATGGGGACTGAGCGTGATAAGTTAGCGGATTGATCGACTAAGACTACGGGAATGGTACGACTTACAGTTCCAGGGAACGATGCCGACGGCGACGCCCAAGGGGACGTATCTCGTGAGAACGCGGCGATCAGGGTTGTTGTCGACAACCTCTTCAGGGAAAGGCAGGTTGGTCATTCCCTTGAAATGCTTGACGGCCTCGCCGATCTCGAACTGTGCGAAAGGAAGCTGTGCGACGCATGGATTGTTAATACGACTCATTCCGGGCTCATCACGGCTTCACGCCAATGACTTACAGGCTTGCCCTGCTCTTTGGTGAGCATCAGCGCAAACTCGTCAGCGTGCGCCTCGAGAGCTTCACCGAGCTTGAAGAGAGCCTGTTGGCGCTCCTCGTACGGTGTCTCAGACCAAGCATCTTGAGCTTTCTTGGCGGCCTGGACGGCTCTGTCGACGTCTTCGGGTGTTGAGAGAGGAACCTCGGGGTTGGCCTCGAGGGTAGATGGGTTCGGGCTGTTCCTCGTCTTGCTCGTCGACTCGAGCTTACCGTCGATGATATTGTAGAACTTGGTCCAGTCCAGCTTGGACGTGCCGTTCGTGGTCATGATGGGCGACAGTGTGGGATGAGTATGTAGAAGACTGGATGAAATTTGAGGCCCTGGCCTGAGTGCGGGAAGTTACGCTGCGGTCTGGTCCGTGGAATGTGATGGGAAGAGAAAAAAGTATCAGGGTCTGATTTTGGAAACTTGACTGGCACAGATGATCGGGTGAAGAGGAAACGCAGGGCGAGAAGAAGTAGGAGGAGGGGGGCACTGGATATGGAACATGCGAAAGCGACTAGTTTTTGCCTTCTCGACCTTTCTCTCTCTTCCCCCTTCTGCTGATCCTCTCGTCTGGGGGCAAGGAGGGGTCGGTTGGGTTGCTCACAATCGCATTATGAGGAACAACGAACCAGTGGAGGGGCACGAGGGGGGGGAGGGGCGTGGAGAGGAAACCGGGGCACGTTACCGGGATGCCATGTCCTAGACCGAGGGTCTTCGTCTGGAACTCCGTTTTCGATGTCACGATGGCCGTTGTCGATTGACATGGACTACTCGCAGAATTGGAGCGTGGTAAGCGTGGCCCCGCGGACAGGCCGGGGTTGTATGGGGATAGTCCAGAGCTATTTCAAATTTGGGGTAGCTCACCCGGCCAAGGCTCCCACTATGGGTAGCTCTGCCTCGCTCTGCGTGGCTCTTAGAGTCTTACTCCTCAGTTTTCCCTGTCTCTGTGTCCGATTTGGAGTGAGAGTAGGATGTTGAAGTGGACGGGAACTGGTTCTGTTCCATTGTGTGTCTCGGTCAGGTTCTCAACTGCCACCCAAACCCGCAACCCGCCGCCCCGCGCCGCACCATTACAATCGACAACTCAGCCAAGCCAAGCCGCGACGGGGCAAGTGTTGAAACGCGGATGAGTTGATCGGCTCAATGGGTGCTGGTACGTACCGTTACGTAGCGTTATGTAAGCCAGTTTATTGTGTATGGCAAGTATTAAGGTATGCGTAGTGTTGATGCATTGCCGTCTTCCGCAGTATGTTTACCGTTGCTGTCAATGCTGACACAGACTGTCTTGCCTCTCGTGCTGCGGGTTGCCCGCAGTAGTCTCTCTAAAGTGACGAAAGGGGGAAGAAAGTTGGAGACGCAAGACAACAGACGACTTTGAACTCGGCAACGTGCCGCTTTCAACCCCTCCTTTTGCGTTTGGCACCTGGATCCCGAACCGCACCTATTTCCCCGTAGGTAGGCAGAATTTTGACCTGTGCTTGAACCGATCGTGTTTCTTAGTCGGGTGCATTTGGAGAAAGAGGGTCTGACTCGACCATCATCTGCGCCGTGCTGCCGCCGTTTGTCCACCTTAGCTCGCCTCGCGCTGCGTTTGAGGATTCGCCCTCCCTCCTGCAAGGTTGGTCATGCAGACAGACTCAAGGTCGAGTCAAGCTTCCCACAGCTCATGGTTGGCTGGAATTGCTCCCACCAGGTCTTGGGTCTTCCCTCACAATCGATACATTGACCCGCCGGCTCGGCGCCGGCTTGAGATACATGTGGGGGTATTCCCGCCAGACTCTGTTGCCTCGTGCCACGGCTTCGGCAATTGTTGCAGGCTGTAGCAGGCGAAAAAGGAGCGAACAGACCTTGTTCCCGATGGTCTGGCTCGCTTTTACGAAGCTAAGGCAAGCCGGCCGGCCAGCTTTCTAGTGTACAAAGTGTGTAAGGGAGGGAGGGGGAAATGGTTCGGTCCAATTGATCCAGAAGGCTCGGGTTCGTTTCTGGTCGCCGGGTGGCCGCGTGCTCGCGCGCGCCCGGCCTCCTTGAAGAATATAACGACATGCATTCCCTCGCAAATCCCATCTGAATTCCAAAGAGCCCAAAGGCACATTGAGATTCTAGAGCAGTTTTATGGCGACCATCATGGGCGGCGAAAGCAACCACAACCGTGCGGTTGTATACACGGAGCCCGGCACCACCCAAACGGAGGTCGTAGAACTACCGATCCCGGAGCCTGGCCCCGGAGAGGTTTTGGTTCGGCTGTGAGTTGACACATTCATTCAATATCACAAAGTTCAATTACTGATCACGCTATTTACCACTGCAGACATTACTCTGGTGTCTGTCATACCGATTACGGCTTCTGCATGAATGCATTCTCATCGGTCCCATTCCCTACACCAAAAGGTATGTCTCATCTGATTCGCCTTGTCGACTCATTGAGCAAGGATCTAACCATGGAGTATCATAGGTCAAATCGGTGGCCATGAGGGTACGTCAAAACTCCATATCGACTTTCGAGTGTCCCATTACGCCCCTCATTGAGTTCAATTGTCACTAACGTTCTCCCAGGCGTCGGCGAGGTTGTCGCCGTAGGCACAGGCGTGACATCACCTGCAATCGGTGACAGAGTGGGAATCAAATACGCGGCAGATGCATGTCTCAACTGCGGTATGGTCACGATCATCTCAGACGACCTACCTCCACTAACACGGCATCTCAGATCGATGTCTTCAAGGCGGCGAATCATCATGCGCCCAGGTTAAACTCTCTGGCTACTTCACCCCCGGCACATTCCAACAGTACTGCATATCGACGGCACGATACGTCACTCCCGTCCCCGCAGGTCTCGACTCAGCAGAAGCCGCCCCTCTCATGTGCGGCGGTATCAGCGTCTACACAGCCCTTAAGCGCGCCGACGCCCGCCACGGCGACTGGGTTGTCATCGTGGGAGCCGGAGGAGGCCTCGGTCATCTCGCGATCCAGTATGCCCGCGTGATTGGGTGCCGCGTCTTGGCCATGGATATCGGCAGCAAGGAGAAATTCTGCCGCGACCTCGGGGCGACGGAATTTGTCGACTTCACGGCCTATTCTAGCGACGAGGACCTCACGGCGGCAATTAAGAAGATCACGGGTGGAGGTGCGAGGATTGTCCTCATGTGCTCGTCTAACAAGAAGGCCTATGTGCAATCTCCAAAGTGGCTCGGGTTCAGGGGCAAGCTTGTGTGCTTGGGTGTCCCCGAGAATAGCAGCCCGGCAATTGCGGACGTCGAACCCATGCTCGTAGATGAGTTAACTATTTTTGGTATGTTTGACTCCGTCATGACGTCTTTCCAATACAGAATGGGTGTATCATGGACGCAATGCTTACCTGGATGCTCCACAGGTGTCAAAACTGGAAACAGACTCGAAGCCAAGGAATGTCTGGAAATCGCGGCACAGGGCAACATCAAAACTCACTTTCAACTTCGGCGAATGAGAAGTTTAACAAAGGTAACTTGATCTCATTCTAGATTGCTTACTTGATCATGTCGATGCTGATACATCGATGCGCAGATTTTCAACGAGATGGAGTGTGGGGGCATTCAGGGACGTGTTGTGATTGATTTGAAGTAGACACATGCACATTCTCATGATTTTTGTAGATACTCTCAATTTATGATGACCATGAAACTCTTAAAAGGCACCTTTCATTTCATTTTGTCTCTTTTTTGAACCAAAATTGAAATCATGAAAAAGCATGTAGTATATTTTAATCATAGATCCTGTCAAAGATGCAAATGGGACACAAATATCAAGAAGCTCAAAATATCTCACCCAGTCGTCGGGGGTGTGGTCAGTCGCGAAAGGCTACCAAAGGCTACCAGATCACTCAAGACAAGCCCGATAAGTGCCACAAAAGTCCTACGAGAGACAGTGCCTCAAGTGCCGACTCGGCTCGCCAACAACCGGGGTAAACTCGAGCTCCCCACAGTATGTGCCGAGATTGCGCGACAGCTTAGACGTGCTAAACGATAGAGTTCAATTAAGCTGTTGGGCTGTGCTGGCAAGCTCGGCTCATGGCGTCGGCAACCCGCGTCGAGGGTCACGCGGCCCCGGACCATCTTTCGCGCCACCCCGTTTTGATCCCGTCGGGCTAATTAACCCCATTGCGGGGAAACGGCGGGGGGGAACAAGAGGCCCATCGAGATCTTTCCCCAGACTTCCAGCCTCAGACGCCCGAGATCCGCGATGGTGTCGCGGGGAAACGGGGAGACTTCTCTTTTTCTGACAGCTCTTCCCCAGACTCCACCGACACGCGGGCGCGGCCCCGCGCTGGGGAAGATCAAAACCCCATGGGCACAAGTTTCTACCCCAGACTTGTCGAGTCAGAAACCGTTAAACATGCTGAGTCGACCTCTCGCATGATGGCTGGCGGATAGGCACATTCTGCAACGGGTCACTGAGACCACAAAGGTGCCTTGTTCCAGACCCCCAAGCCTCGTCATAGTGCTTCGGGTTCTGAGGCATGGGTTAGGGGTAATCAGGCCAGATGAGTTATCAGGCACACGTGAATGGCCGAGTGCTGATCGTGATTCTGCAGCGACCATCCCGAAATAGGGTGGCAGTTTTTCTGACTCGAAGCTTCGCTGAGCTATTGGATTCCTAATTGGGTTGTTGGTGATTGGTCTTTTCTGACACGTCTTGTTTGCTTCCTGACGCCAAGTCAGGTTGGTTTGTTGGATGGTAGCGGTTCCGTTCTGACGCAGTGATTTCCTCATGCGCCTCGCTCGATTTGTCGAGGAGTTGCATTCGAATTCGTCCAGATAGTATTTACCAAGCCTTTGAGAGCGGCCCCATCCTTATCTGCTTTTTCAAAAAAAGAAGCACTTCTCCTCTTCTTCATTTCTTGTGTGGTGAACAAGCCACAAGCGAAGCCAGAAATTGGCATGATAAACACAGCACAATGGCAATGACTGACATCCAGATCCTCCAGGCTCATGGCCTGTTTTTCGTTTTAGGCACTCAACTCCACGTCTTCGTTTTCCGCAAAGGGGAATGGGACACAGCTACTACCAGACTCTTTAGGAACTTTACCCTGGGTATTGGGTTGCTGACTGCGGCCCTTTCCCGGGGAGCTCCTGAGACCTTCCAGACCAATGCGGCTGCGCTCAAGACAGCTGGGTCTCTCACGGCCGCGCTCATTGCTGGAATCTACACAAGTTTACTTGTGTACCGTGCGGCATTCCACCGGCTCAATGGCTTCAAGGGACCGTTCCTCGCGAGGCTCTCGAACTTGTGGATCACGTCGCGAGCAGTGAAGGAGTTGCATATGTACACTGAGGTTCAGCAACTACATGAACAGTACGGCGACATTGTGAGAATTGGTAAGGAACTCTAATCAATCTTAGCATACCGATCAAGAATGCTAATGTTAAATGGGTTAAGGCCCGACGGAGTTGTCTATCAACAATCCAAAGGCTGTTCTTCCAATCCACTCGAATCGCTCTCCGTGCACCAAAGGCCCGTGGTATGGAGTCCTGCATCCCATGTACTCGTTGCAACTCGTCCGAGATAAGCAAGAGCACGCACAAAGGCGCAAGAGTTGGGATCGAGGGTTCAGCTCGAAAGGTAACCCAAGACCTCGCCCCTAGTCGTTTTGTGGTTTCGCAACTAACAAGAGGACTAGCGCTTAGAGACTACGAGTTCCGAGTTGCTGACTACACCAATCAGCTTCTAGCAAGCATTGACAAGAACAAGGGAAAGCCATTCAATATTTCAGATTGGTTCAACTTTTACAGCTTCGATGTCATGGGTGACTTGGCTTTCGGCAAGTCCTTTGGCATGCTCAAGGAAGGCATTAAGCACTACTTTATGACTTCCTTACATCAAGACATGCAGGCTATTGGCATGTTCAGCCATATGCTATGGCTCTTCCCAATCTTCAAGAACACGCCAATCTTGAATGAGAACAACAAGCGGTTCTGGAAATTTGTCACATCTCAGGTGGACGAGAGAATCGCGGTATGATGTGCCGCTGACCCGGTTCGAGAGATATGCATGCTAATTGTCATCAATTTCAAGAACCCCCCTGATCGCCCAGACGTCTTCTCGTGGATCTTGGAGGAGTACCAATCCCTCAAGAACCCGACTTGGCAAGATACTCTCAACCTCTATGGCGATGCGTATCTTATCATTGTTGCAGGAAGGTAAGCGATGTCTCGCATCCCACTTTGATACCCATGGTGCTGGGTCAACTCAGCTGACGTTGTATTTACGAATTCGTAAAGTGATACGACAGCTGCATCCCTTACTTGTCTCTTCTTCGAGCTAGCCCAAAAGCCGGGTGTCTACCAACGGCTAAGGGAGGAGATCGACGACTATTTTGCGCAGAATGCGGAGCCTGAACACTCCGCACTGTCAAAGCTCCCGTACCTGCAGGCATGCATCGACGAGACGTTGAGGCTTCACCCTCCCGTTCCGTCGGGCGTGCAGCGCATGACCCCGCCCGAGGGCATAGATATCGACGGGACGTTTATTCCGGGTGACACAATCATCCAGGTGCCTACGCACACCATGTTTAGAGGCAAGTCTCAAGAAGAAATTGTTTCATCTTCCATCGTTGTCTCGGGTGATGGAGTGCCTCTGTCGTACAAGACGTTGCTTGCTGACTGTGGCGAAAAATGAATAGACGAGCGCCTGTTCCCGCAGGCAAACGACTTCATTCCCGAGCGGTGGACCTCCCGGCCCGATCTGGCCAAAGACCCTGCCGCATTTGTTCCCTTTGGTACCGGTAAGCACTTAAAATCATTGCCTCCTCCACCTTTTTGAGCCGATCGGTGCGACGTGAGAGCTGACGACAAGGATGAATCATGGCAGGCAAGTACTCTTGCGTCGGAAAGCAGCTGGGCTTGATGGAGATCCGTTACTGCGCCAGCCAAATTATTAACAGATATGATGTTGCATTCGCCCCAGGGCAGAAGGCAGAAGCGTTTATTGATGGTAAAAAGGATGGGTTTACACTGTCGCTGCCGGAGTTGGAAGTGATTTTCAAATCGAGGGAGGCGGGAAAAGTGACAGCTTAGCAAATGAGTGGAAGAAAGATGACCATTGGAGGTAACGCAAGACTGCTAAGGCTGGAATGTCTTATAAGCTATGTTTAATATGTGGGCGAGGTATCCGAGGTATCCAGTGACATATCGCAATTTGATAATCGACGTTGCAAAGCCAACAAAAACCCACTTTACGCATTGATAGATCTGGCAGTGCGGAATCGAGTTTCGATAGGGCGCAAGGCTTGGTGTGGCTACACGAGCTGAAGGGCTTGCAGGGGATGGCAAGGCTTTAGTAGGTTCTGGAGAAAAGTTGAATAGAAGTTCCGTCCGGACACGGCATCCGCGGAATGTCGAAGTAGTGCTAATTAGCCCCCGTTGGAGTTTGGCTTGCCTAGGGAATCCTTCTCTGAGTACTAGCACATACATACATACATAGTTTATTACGCCCCGGCTAAGCTGTTTAGGGCTCGCATGATTATCTACATATTCTCCACATTCGTTCATATCCTTGCCTCCCAGAAGCCCATACAAGTCTTGTTCGTCTCCGTATGTGTCTTTTTTAGTTTTGCATGTCGATGCTGCGGTTGCTCGTGGGGTTAGTAGCAGGCCATCTCGGAGTTGTTTCTCAAAGTGTTCGACGTCCTATCGTCGGCGGCCGAAGCTAGTCCTGCTGTCGATGGCACGAGGATGCGTGGGGGTGTCTCCGGTTAATTTGATGATGTTAGTTGCGTGTGGTTTCGCTGCTGGCTGATCTGTGCATCTAGCCTCTCCGTGCTCATGGCGAACTTGATCGTCTCTTTGACAACGTCTACGCTTGGCGACCAATCCTTAGGGTCGGACGCGCGCTTTCCTCCCAGGAAGTATGACAGATTTCCTCTCCGCGTTTCCGTCTGTTGGAGCATCCGAGTCCGCTGTGCCGTCCACTGTGTGCATCGAAAGAGAAAATGCTCTACCGTTTCTGCAGATTGCCCGCAAGCGCATAGCGCCGCGGCGGTTGCGCCGATCTGGTAGAGGTACCAGTTCAGCCTTGCCATTCCGGTGCGTAGTTGCGCTAGAATGCTGGCTTCTTTCCAGGCCAGTCCGTCATACAGCTTGCGTGTGTGGTTTCCCGGCAGGGCTATGTCGATCTTCTTCGAATATGCTCCTACGTTGTCGGGCAAGGCTCCGTGCTTCTGTCGCACGCTCTGTAAAGCGATCCTAAGTGCCGTCGAGTAGGCTCTGGCCGGCCGTTTTTGTGGTGTCTTGTTTACTTGGGTACTTTCCTTTGCTGCTGCTTTGGCCGCTTGCGCCAGGTCTGACTCTATCGATGATGGAAGCCAGAAGAGAGTGACTCTGTTGCCTCGTCTCTGCAGAGCTTGCACGCTGGCATATAGTTGTCGGATCTCTTGTTGGCCTGACTGCTGCCGCGGGTTGTGCATCACCAACACTGCCGCTTTGTTGCGGGTGAAGACGTGGATGGCCCGGTACTCGAGTCTCTCTGGGAGAGACTTGACCGCTTCTGCCAGTGCCGCTAGCTCTGCTACATACGGGTTCTGCTCCGTTCTCTGACCGAACGTACGCGAGGCCGTCACGACGCCACCGCCCCCTCTGAAAGATGCGGGCAGCGTCGTCGCCGTTCCAAAGCCCACAACCTCGTTCCTTGCTGAGCTCCCTGTCGCTATCCTCACTGCCCATCCAGACCGGATTGCCTCAGAGGCCTTGACCGTGTCGTCGTCGACTACTGTATCAATACGACGTTCCCAAGGAGCGATCGAATACCCTTCGATAGTCTCCAGCTTGTCAAGGGGTAGGTCGCGATAGGCCTCCGCCATCAACTGGAAGGGTGACGGAAACCGTCTAAAGGCCACCGCCCGCAGACGTCGAAGCGGATGGGTCTTGGGAAGGCTTCGCAGCCGTACCCAGAATGTCGTTGATTTTCTGTCGTACCTCTCTTGCGCCGATTGTATGCTTGCCTCCGCTTCAGCGACCGCCGTGGCCACCGTGTTGAAGGTTCCCACGATCGCTTGGGCGCCAATCCTCTGCACTCGGTTGATCACCCTCATCTGCGCTGCTCGACACCTGTACCTCCAGACGTTCGACGCGTAGTCCATCGTCGGTGCTACGGCCGCCACGAAAAGCTGTCTGGCCGTCGCCGGAGACAGGCCTTTGAGCCGTTTGAGCCCCAGCACGGCCTCCAGCCCTTTTGTCGTCGCGTCTGCGATGTGCTTTTCGAAACGGAGTTTCGTGTCCATCATCACTCCCAATACTTTGACGTGGTCCTTTGCTCGGACAGTGTCACCTTTGATGACGAAGCTGGTTGAGTCCGCCGGCAGCCTCCAGTTGCGCGTGAAGTGGATGATGGCCGTCTTGTCCGTCTCGAACGTCGCCCCGCTTCGTCGTTCCCACGCGAGTGCTCGATCGATAATATCTTGGATGCCCTGACGGTTTGCTTCGCGCGATCGGCCTGTGACCCACGCCGTGTAGTCATCGACGAAGGCCAGCGCGCCCCCGTTCTCGTCGATTTGGTGCTGTACGAGATCGGCGTTGAAGAAGAGGAAGAGCACGGGCGAAAGCGGCGAACCCTGAGGCAGTCCGGCTTGTGGTAGCGGACGAGCCTCGGACTCGTGACCGTTAACCAGGATGCTTGCCGTTCTATGGGAGCAGAAGGCGTCCACCCATCTCACCAGCTTGTCCGGGATCCCCCGCGCTCTGAGTCTTTGAAGTAGTCTCTCTTTGTACACAACCATTGTATGCTCCCTTGACATCGGAAGCTGACCAGACTGACCACCTTTCCTTTCTCCACGCTCTGTAGATGTACTCCTGCAGCAGTACCAGCGCCTGCTCTGCCGACCTCTGCTTGCGAGCGCCAAAGTGGCTCGTGGGAAGGAGGCCGAACGTCTCGACAGCGTGCGAGATACGTTCTGCCAGGACCGACTCCAGCACTTTTCCGAGCGTCGAGAGAAGCGAGATCGGTCGCCAGGCCTTCGCTATACCGTAGTCGCTTTTGTTTGGCTTCTTCAGCGGGATGATCTTTGCGTGTCGCCACTGCCTCGGCAACACCCCTTCATCCAGTGAGGTCTGGAAGAGTGTAAGCACCCTCTCCTTCACCACTGGCCACGTGTGCTTCCACACTGCCACCGGCAGACCGTCCTCTCCGGGTGCTTTCCACGACTTTGCCGCAAAGAGCTGTCTCTCTACTTCTCCAGTGTGAGGTT